GAAGATGTGAATTTTGTATAAGACGTTATACCTAGTTGATTGGTGATCTCATTGTGTCGCAATAAATAATTAGATTCTTAAGTCAATTAAAATGGTGTTTCGCTTAGGTAAACTATTGCATGAGATAAAAAATGGCAGCTTTGTTTAAAAAAAAATAAGTAATAATAGATTTGTTGTGAGGTGGTTATTATTGGATAAGTATGCATTCTTAAAAAAAGCTTTACTTCTTATATTCATATGAAATTCAATTAAATTCAATTTATTTGTATTAAATAGGGTACAAATAATGGTGTTACATATTTCATCTAAATTGTATTTTAACCTATTTAGTCATAAAAAGATAACATGCAATTTTTTCTATTTAATCTACTATATAAAAATAAGTCGGGTTTTCCTTCCTGACGCTATAACTCCAGAATGCACGAACCGATTTCCACGGTTTTGCATTCGTTGGAAAGGTCTCGGGCTCCGTGAGGTTTATAGCAAAGAAAATTCAGGAAAAATTAAAAAAAAAATCGTTTTCTTTTAATCATAAAACGAAATGTTACATAAAACGAAGCTATCTGGTGGCGAAACGGAGTTCGCTGGGTTTGCTAGTTACCTATATAAATGTCAATAATTCTTATTAAAATATCATAATAATTCGATATCGTCAATTTATGATGTCAATAATTATGTGAATGTCAAAATTAGAATGGTTTTGTAAAGAATCAAAATTAAATGTTACATTTAAGCCCATTAAACATGTCTTTAAATCCTACCATACTTCATGAACTCAACCATATTATAAAACGTTTTTTTCATTTAACCACTTAAGAAGTTTTGACTTGAACTTATTAAAGGTATGTCTTATAATTTCTTCTGGAATTTGATTAAAAAATTTAATTGCCATCGCCGCCGGTGCATTTGTTTGGAATCGCTTTGTTTTCGGAACTGTATCCATTTTTATTTTATTGGGATACCTCAGACTTCGATCTGTTACATCTTTCAAAGTTGCTACTTCCAGAATGTACAAAGAAATCAACGTTAAAATATTTAGGTCCTTAAAATATGTTCTACAAGAAACATCCGGGGCTATACAACAAATTGCCCGTATACACCTTTTTTGGCATACAAATACTCTTTTAATGTCCCTGAAAGACATTAAATGGAACTTCTATTGTATGTATTGTGTAAGTAAGAAGCACATTATCATATTTTTAAGCTATTGTATAGCTTTTATCGCGGGCTTTGAACGCGGGGATCGAATCAAAAAATTCTGTAACGAAAAAACCTTGCGATAGTGCATATACCAATAGAACACAATTTTCGCCATTTTTATAATCAATTTAAACGGCGCAGTGTGTTAAGTTTTTGCCACGGCACTAACGTCGTCGTCGGTTCAAATCCCGCACTTGTATTTTTTATTTTTAGTTATTATTTTTTTAATTTTTTTATATATTTGTTTTAGACCCCAGCACCTGTTCTTATTTTTATTTGTCTCCCTTTTATTTAGACTTTATAATTATAATTAAAATTTTTGGACTAAAGATGGTAAACTGTGGAGCTTGTGAAAGTTTTTTGGCGCCGGGCAATGCTGTTGTAGACCAGGCTCGATAATTTTTGAGACCAAAAAAAATTATAGTAGGATGAAACCATTTATAAAAGAATATATATATTATATTGAATATAACAAAAATGAAAGGAAAAATAAATTACGGGCGATCTGAGGTCGGGAAGGGGGAGGGGGTGAGTTTTAAGGGTAAAAAATGGTTAATCTCGATTTCCGGTAAAATTGCAAGTCCTATGAAAAAAAGTTAAATGGCAAAGTTGTAGGTAATAAAATGATCTACAACTTTTGAATTGACACTTTTTTCACATAACCTCAAAATTTGTGTGAAAAATGCGAATAACCGAGTTTTTGGTTATTGATTTTTATTTTTTGCAAAAAAAATATTTTTTCACGAAATTTGGTGAAAACTTACCTTTGTATGTCCCAAACATACAGTAATTTTTTTGATTTAAAATATTAATTTTTTCACCTTATTTTGACTTAATATCGAAAAAGCACCCTTATTTTCAATCGAAAATTCTCTGCTTTTTTAAAAAAGTTGGGGTGTTTTTTGTTTGTTGAAATCTCTACTTTCTGATGGTATAAAAAAATATACACTACTATGGTAAATGTTCTCAGAAACTGCAAATTAATAATGAAAAAAACTCCAATCCGAAAAATTGATTTAAATCATCACGTATAATTTTGAACTATTTATTAAAATTTACACTTTAATTACTCGAAAAACGTAAGATTTCATGTTATATTGATAAACAGAAAAATTACAAATCCATAAAACATGCAAAAATAGTTGTTGTAAGTAGGTATTAAAAATAGGATTTTCGGATTCGAGTTTTTTTCATTATTAATTTGCATTTCCTGAGAACATTTATCATAGTAGTGTATATTTTTATGTACTATATATATATATGTACATATTAATATGTACTTGTAAAGTATTTCGTTTGACATTGGGTAACCTACAATGCACAGAGATGGCGCTGCCTTGCATCCTAAAAAAAAAGTTATATCGATGCGGGTTCGACTCCCATCTGCTGCCTTAGGCCACGTTGTATTTTTTCTGTTATTTAATGTTTAATTCTTGTAAAGATAAATTGGTAACATTGAAAAAAGAAATAGCAATTGTAATTGTAAACTGTAATTGTTGAGTTGATTGATTGAGTCTACAAAACAAAACTTAGGAGCTGTTACTTTCACATAAAAACCAGTCATAGATGAATACATATATACCTTTTCTCTTTGGATGAATAGTTAAAAAAGTACTAGACTCTATGCATTTAGCTTATGCCTTTGATACGGAAAAATTATAACAAAAAGTGACTGTCTCAGATTGCCAACATTAAAATTAGTAACGGAATTCGTCTATTCTTAAATTAATGAGAGCAAAGATTCATATTTATGTAAGTTTCTAAGACATAATTACCTATACTCAAAGACCACTGGAACAATTTGAAAATATTAAAAAAAAACTGTTAGAAAGCTAGAGTATTCTTGAGTAACTTAAGCTATTTATCGGGATAAAATAAATTTCACCCCTTCAAAGCCTATCTTATAGAGGCTGATAGCTGGTTACTTATTTTCTATTGTTTCAAAGAACTTTGTATATAATACAATAAATAGTTTTCACCACAAGCAAGTTTTTTTTTTTTTTTTGCAAGCAAACATAAAATCTATTTTTTATTCTATCTCACAATACCAAAATAAGTCAATTTAAGAAATATTTGCGCTATTCTTCTTTTTGGTGTGTCACACCTTTCCTCTCGCTTTCCTGCAATTTGTGTGAGTGATTTCGTTAAATGGGACGGAAGTGTGTAACAGGAAGTCGCGAAAGCGCGCGCTATTTGTTTTATTTTAGAACATAATGTTTAAATTGCTTATTCCTTTTGTAGTAGATTTTATTTCTTTGTTTAGTAATATAAGATGAGGTTTCAAATGTTACACATCATACGCAACTACTGTAAGACTCGCTCGTTTTTTACTGCTAATTTAACATATAAATTTTTTCATTTATTTTTTCAAACAGGTAGTTTCACCTGGTTACACCCATACTTCTGATAATCATAAAATATAAACTGCGTCTCAAACTCAAAATCAATTCCATATTGTTATTTTATAAATACGAATGATAACCGCCTATTTTTTTCCTCCCAGGCGAGGAAGCGTGTGAGAATTCCTCATGGATACTCTTCAGCCAGCTGCAAGGTTGTGTGAGTCTCTTACTGACTAAAAGCTTCATCTGAAGCGATCATCCCCTGAGAAGGAAATGATGCGGTATAACCACCGATCTTTTCAAGTGCTATATATTTTTATAAAAACGTGATGTTAGCGCGACTCAGAAGCCGTTGCCTTTGGTACTCGCGGTAGCGTTGTGGAACTAATGATTTTTTATTGTACTTTTAAATATATTTTTTTAGATTTTCTTGCAATGACGTTTGACACTACAAAAACTTCATCTATGTCATTATTAATGTTTTCTTCTAAGGAATTTTCGATAGCTAAGATATATACTTTAACCAAAGTTGAACGACTATTACTCATAAACTAAAAAATCTGTCTCAATCGTTATAATTTTCCTATAAATGTTCATGTAAAGTACTAATATCACGAATTTTTCCAGATTTTTCAAGTTCATAGTTTAGATTTTAGAGGGGGGGGGGGCGCCCTAAAATAGTATTGGGAACCCCTAAGTAACTTCTCAGCACAAGGTCTCCCGCCGCAGCCTTGCGAACCGATGGTGTAGCTTTTCGACTTTCACAAGTGCTTATTGAGTGAGTTTGAGTTTGACTTGACCATGAGCTTTTTTGTCCTTTATATTAAATATAAGTTTCGATTAAATATAAGAATAGCAAAATCAACAAATTATGTAAAAGGAAATTGAATGTCAAAATGTGAAAGTAATTATTGCTTTCTTATGAAAAACTATATTTATAAACGCACTGCCAATTTGTAGAATTTTGCAGGCAACACTGCCTACCAACTGATAAGATAGGGTTTTTGGCGGGATTTCATCGAGTGTGGTTGGCGTCTTATTTTAATTATTCTTAAATTCGTTCATAGTGGATATTGTGAAATAAAATTGGTGTGATTTTGTGTTACAACTGTCTGCGTAACTGAAGAATTAGTAGAATCGTCAAAATATACACTTTTCCGATCAAGTGGACGTGAGAATTTTATTGTAGTATTGACTAACTCACAGAAGCTTATCGAAAAAGTCAGCTCGATACATTTCGTGCCAAACACTTCAAGAAACATTAGAATGCGTCATACCGATATTCTAATGTAAAAAGAAAAACAGAATAATTTAACTTAAGACTAGGCTGTATGGGCATTGTTCCCCTTGCCTTTCCTGAAAAGGGAGAACTTAACCAAAAAAAAAACTGATAAGATACTTTATAGTCTGTGCACTGCCAGCTGACAATGACAAGATAATAATGTGTGTTATTTCGCAAACAATACGTAAATACTATGGCGCTAAGTTATTTATCAGAAAGTGAAGCGCCTCGAGATTTTCGCATATCTTCCACAGAGAGTGATGGACACTATACTAAATGCCTGTTGTGTTACACTGTGAAGCGGAATTTCTATTGCCCAGAATGCATCAAAACTGGAAGCTTTGTACATTCTTCGATGCCTTATTCAGACAGGTGCGATTATTTCGTGATTTTCTACACAAAAGTCCACTGCCTTAATGATTACATGCTCTCACATAAAGACATTTAATATTTATACGACTTCCGTTAGAGTACATGGTTATAAAGTCTCTTAACTAGATGCTCTATTAAAACATATTGTGTATTCACTTTCACACTGAACTGCTATGAATTTAGTTTAAAAAAGTGATTTAATTGTACAGTATTAGCACTCCATCATTAGAGAAAAACAGTATAACATAGTTCTACATATAACCCAGTCATGAACATAACATAACTTTTTTTTTAACTTTGTTCATAATTTTGTAAAATATACAACTCACATTATTAACGATAAATGCTTGAGTTTATCCTGATATATATTCATTGTTGCAGATATGCAGAAAAACAGGCTAAGTTACTTAGATTAAAAGTAAATAGGAAACATGTATTAGAGAGATGTGAAAAGTTGCTATCTACTAAAATAAAAAAGGATAAGCTTGTGACTGAGGCAAAACAGTCTCGGGACAAATTAGACTTACTGAGATTAGCAATCGAGCAACGAAAGAGCAACATAGAGGAAAAGAAAAAGGAGCTCACGGACTTGAAACAGCACAACCATGACTTAAGTTTAAAACTACCGAGATACCAGAAACGTGTGTCGTTGCTAGGGAAGCATGCCCAAGACCAACGGATTGAACTGCAATCAAAAATCAACACATACAGTGAGCAAGCCGATGTGCTGGCGGCATTAAGACGCTGCAGAATAAGGCAACTCACTAAATACATATTCCCAGTTTACATTAGTTATGACACAAGGTAAGAAAGCTTTTATTTTTTAATTTAGATCTACAAAGGTGACCTATTATTATTTTGTTCACTATAGAAATAACTATTTACCATCACATAGCAGTCATATTCTTGATATCAGTTTGATAAATCTCTTATCAATGTATTATAATAAAGCCTTACAAATATTTTGCATAGTGCAGTTAGTTATATGCTCTAATTAGAGGCTTTGTACGTATCATAAATGAGATAAGATTTAAATCGAAAGAAGATTGTACTAGAAAATATTCCATGCAGACCAGGAAGCAGACAGAACCCGCATGCCATATAAAAAAAATAGAAAAGAAGGCTCTTAAGTGGGAAAGACAAATTGTTTAAAAGCAATATGGATAGATCGAAAAAAAAAGTATCCGGGCACCAGACCTACGTCACTAGACTCGCCAGAAGGGTCTTGAACTATTAATCGCAATGGGGATCGAAGCAAAATCCAAACTCTCTTTGGGTTGTCTATATATTGAAATTTTTGCCAATAATTATTCTTGAATTTAAAAGCTAGGTCAAATTTTCATCTTATATTTATAATCTTTACCTGAATTTTACTTACTGGAATAATTTTCTTTCATGTAATGACAAAGGGTTATTTGACGGCCTAATATAAAATTAACTATAGTACAAAAAAACGCCTACAGCATTTTTAAAAGAAATTAAATGATATTTTCTTCTTTTTGTTCCTTCCAAAAGCCAAGCAAAGGGATCAGTCTAGCCTTGTTAAGCCACAGAAAATAAAAAACGCATGGACTAGCGAAAACGATCTATGGTAAACGAAAACAGTGAAACAACCTAAACAGCAGCCTTCTATATCTCTCTTCAAACAAAGAAGTCATGGGACGTTTTTAACACGTTACATGCACCCCTCGCTATGTCGAATTTATTCTAGTATTTCTGAGGCTGCAAGGCGGCACCTTCTCTTGCATTACAGGTAATCCACAATGTCAAATGAATACCTTTACAAGTATTAACCATTTGAAAGAAGAAATAGATAATAGAAGTCGTTATATATAATTCAAATGCATAGAGATACGTTTGGGTAGGATGAAGCCTTGGAAGTACTAGAATAAACTTAGCTGAGATAAGATTGTCAGCCTAAAAGAGGTTGTAAATTTAAATAACAATACGTTTGTATGATATGTTAAATTTTTAGTACATATTTGTCTGGTTTCTGGTACTTCAAGTAATATTGAAACTATGCTCGAATTATCGAATGCAAGTTATAAATATTGAAACCTTCAATTGGCTAAGCTCTATATAATTAAGATTAAGTTATACAATTGTGGTAATATCTTGTTAGTTTCAATAAATAAATAGAAAAAGAAGATAATAAATAATCTTTGCAGCTGTTGTGAAATATTGATTCATATAAAAAAAATATAAAATTTCCAGCAATAAAAATACACAATTGCTGAAGATTTCAACTCTACCTGTTAGAATTTGTAACATTTTAGCCCTTTGACAGAAAAAAAGATAGTGGAGGCTTGTTTAAAAGGTTTTACTGTCACTTGTTTAGATATAAGAAAGCATAAAAATACATGACCTAAAACATATTATAATTTTGTATTTTGTAATCAATTTTTAAAATTTATTGTTTTAAACTTTCATGGTCACTAACATTATAGTAATATAAGTTAGTTACGGGATTGTTACCATGTACCTTGTTTTTAGCGAGTTTCTATTTATTTATTTATGTGATTTTTTTTAAATTTGTTCTCTAGTTAAATTTTTACTTTTTAAGCAGTTACATAATGCTGGATGTTTAAATCTAAAGAAAATATAACTAGAAAAAAATCCATGTGGACCAGGCAGCAGACGGGACTCGAACGCGCAACCTTCGCTATCCGAGCGAATGCACTGACTACCCTATGCTACCGCGGCCCTGATGGCCATGTCGAATTCTTTCTATCCTTTCTTAAGCTGCTAGGCAGCGCCATCTGTTTGCATTGTAGATAACCCACAATGTCTAAAACATATTTTCATTTCAGTGACAGCTTAGAAGACATGGAGTTTGTGGGTGATACTGATGAGGAGGAGCCACCCAAAAGGCCACAGCTTCATATTGTTAACTCGTGGATAAGCACGGATGGAGATTTCTCTCATTTGCAAGCTTGGAGTGAGTATGAAACAATTTGCTTGCTAGCGTTCGCCTGAGATCGTTGTAGTAAGCAACTTTCACAGTGGTCGGTCATTGGATGGGTGACCAAAAATCTTCTATCTCAAGTTCCTCCGTGCTTCGAAAGGCACGTTAAGCCGTTCGTCCCGGCTGCATCTGCAGTCGTTAGCACCCGCCAATCCGCACTGGGCCCGCTTGGTGGGTCATAGCCTAATCTCCCTATTCCATCCATAGGGAAGGCCTGTGCCCCAGCAGTAGGGATATTAATAGGCTGATAATGATGATGACTTGCTGCTTGTGTCGGTAATGACGTTGTTCGCGTACCGTAATGTTTCCAGCAACCTTGTTAGTGACTTGTTTTAGTTCTTACTAGCGGCAGCCTGCGACTTCGTACGCGTGGAGTTAGTAGTCTAGTCAACAAGTGCCTTTCTGCTTAACTTTTTGCAGCAGTCTCCGAAAATTATGATCGAGGTGTCATTCGATTCGGAATGGCATCTAGATTATTTTTGAAAAAAATGAAATTCCGCAAACAAAAATTGCAAGTTATTAACAATTAACTAAAAAAAAGGGGGTTTCGTTTTTTGCAAATATCTCAAAAACTAATAAAAATATTTCAAATCAAAAAAGAATTCAGAAAGAGGAGTAAATTTCCTAAAAAAAAGCCCCGACTCTCGGAACTGTAGGACCAATATTTATAATTTTCCCAGAGGGATGAAAATACGGCCGAAAACGGGTCTTCTGGCTTGCGTAAGCCAGGCCTACTTCGCACTTTATTAATAAAAAATATTTTAACATGTTAAATATAAAGTTTAAGAAATGAAAAAATTCAGGGTCTTACTGGATAGATGAATGAACAATAATCCGCGTGAAAAACATTTTTATCACAATTTTTCAATTAGTTATGCAATTGTTAATTAAAAAAATTTTTCCGCTTGAACATGAACATTGCAAGTGTGATTATTGTTAAACTATAAATTTCAGATTTTTTTCCTCTCTTGGAGCAATTCTTGAAAGGCTTTAGAATAGATCCCCGTTGGAAAAATTAAAAAAAAATATATTTTTCAGTTTTTATTAACGATTTTGTTGTTGCAAAATTAAAAAGTTAAATTAATCATCAAAAAAAAATTTTTTTTTTTAAATATTATTGATGATCCGTTTTTATGTTATTAGAAGCTGCATAAAATTTTTTTTTGAATTTTTATCTGTTATTGTTTAAAAAATTGGTATAAACAAATGCGTTGTTTATTAGATAATTGAATTGTTTTTATAGAATTTCAATCTTTCTTACAAATAATGATTTTTAAAAGAAAAATTGTTCCTTAAAAAAAATCTTTGATGGCTTAAAAACGCATTTGTTAATTAACAATTATTTTTTCCCACTTCTAATTAATATTAAGGAACAATTTTTTTTAAATCATTATATATATATATTTTCGATATAAAAAAGACCTACAGTTCCGAGAGTTGGGGCTTTTTTTTAGGAAATTTCCTCCTCTTTTTGAATCTTTTTCTTAATTTGAAATATCTTTATTAGTTTTTGAGATATTTGCAAAAAACGACACCCCCTTTTTTTTAGTTAATTGTTAATAACTTTTGCAATTTTTGTTTGCGGAACTTCATTTTTTTCAAAAATCATCTAGATGCCTTTCCGAATCGAATGACACCTCGATCATAATTTTCGGAGACTGCTGAAAAAAGTTGACCAAAAAGGCACTTGTTGACTTGACTATGGTTACAAATAAAGGTTCACTGCTCGTTCCCCGTAGGTGATAGCGTGATAATATGTAGCCAATATGTTGACCGACTTCGTAATAATATTCGTGCCAAATTTGAAGTAAATCCATGCAGTATTTTTTGAGTTTATCCCGGACATACAAACAGACATAAATCTAAAAAGTATATTTTTGGCTTCAGTATCGATTGTAGACCACACCCCAAGTATTCTTTAAAAAAATATTCAATGTACAGTTTTGACTTTCCTGCCATTTTAGATATCAATTTATTTATTTATTTATTTTTAGGGAAATAACAGCATTAATTTTCACACAAAAAATATAACATTAAGTTAAGTTAAACAATTGCCTATATAATTTCCACTATTATTTATCTCAATAGTGTATAATAAACATGAGAGAAAGAATAAAAAATTTTTGACATCATAATGAACATAAATAAAGTAATATAAAAAGAAATAAAAATGTTGTGCCTAAAACCAGTAACAAATTAGTTTTTTGAATTTCAAGCCGGAATGCAAAACGTATCACGTGCTCGTAGATTTGCTCTTGGACATTTTAGCAAAATTTTACTCAACAGATATGGAGAATCGACAAGACCATTTATAACCTTGTGAAGCAAGACCAAGTCTCTACAGTCTCTTCGGTGTGCCAGGGATCGCACGTCATCCTCACAAAAAACATTGAATTTGTATTTCATCCTTCTAATGAATTTATTCTGTAGTTTTTCTATCGCGCTTATGTGTGTTAAGTATTGCGGATTCTATACCGTTGAAGCGTACTCTAGTTGAGATCTTACATAACTGTTATATAAAATTAATAGAGTTTCTATGTTTTTAAAATCTTTGCCCTGCCTAAATATGAAACCCAACATTTTATACGCTTTGACTGTAATTTTATGAAAATGAGACGTAAAAAATCAAGCAGTATTTATCATCTCCTTTTTGTATTTGAAAATAACCCTTTTGTTCTGAACTGTCATCGTGGGTAGTACTTATTTCATGGTTTCGTGTAACGGTTCATTCATAAACTACGTGGGTGATTCGCGGGAGAAATGACGACGAGCGTTCAGTGTGGAATCAACATTTTTTTTTAACTTATCCTACATCTTTAAACTAGTCAATGTACATTAACTACGTGCTTAGGGCTAAGATACCTAAACGTATTGGGGAATTAACATCAACACGTAAAGGGGAAGTGAGGGGTCGACGACGTATGACATTGTGTGACAAGGGGTGGGAGGGGTTCAGATTTTCGTAACGTCACATTTTCTCCAATATTCTTGGACTATTATCAAAAATCTTTAAAATATTTAGAACTCTCACCTGTATGGGTTTTAATTTATTTTGTTGCCTAATTTTCGTAACTAATTTCGGAACTGCTTTCGGAAATATCTTACGTCATACTAGTGAGGGGGGAAGGGGGGCTTCACAAATGTAACCGATTGTGACAAGGACGGGGGTGGGGTAAACGAATCACGAAATTAGTGTGACTACTTTATGGCTGTCGCCTTAGGAGAAGTTTTGTAAAGACAAAACGTGTCGTTAGCAGATCAGAATAAAGAAGCCGGTAGCCTGGCGTGCGGCGCTAATAATCCGGCGCATCGCACGCAGGCGGCGCTGGGGCTCGCCGCGCAACTCGCCGCGCTACTGGCCTGGACGCTGGACGCGCGTCTACCGCATGCCATCACACTCAGGTAACTACACGCAGGCGGCGCTGGGGCTCGCCGCGCAACTCGCCGCGCTACTGGCCTGGACGCTGGACGCGCGTCTACCGCATGCCATCACACTCAGGTAACTACACGCAGCTCGCTCAGGTAACTACACGCAGGCGGCGCTGGGGCTCGCCGCGCTACTGGCCTGGACATAATTTTTTCGACACTGCACATGAATTTTTACAGATGTCTGGTCTTACAGGTTCTCCGAAAACTCATCACCTCTTTCAATACTTGCATCAATTAATGCTTTCATGCCGCGATCAACAGTAACATCTCCACTTTCAGTCAAAGGTTGACTACAAATAAAGCAGAATTGCGACAATTTTTTTTTAAAACACAGTAAAATGCACAATCTTTGTTACAAAATATAAGCGACTAGCAAACCCAGCGAACTCCGTTTCGCCACCAGATAGCTTCGTTTTATGTAACATTTCGTTTTGTGATTAAAAGAAAACGATTTTTTTTTTAATTTTCCTGAATTTTCTTTGCTATAAACTTCACGGAGCCCGAGACCTTTCCAACGAACGCAAAACCGTGGAAATCGGTTCGTGCGTTCTGGAGTTAAAGCGTCAGGAAGGAAAACCCGACTTATTTTTATATAGTAGATAGCCACGAGTTGTCACAGCATTTTGTTGAGTATGAGACCTTTGAAACGGAGCAGGTATACGAGGATCGCCACGCTGACAATTGAATGGAAGACAGGTGTTACTCAAGGCCATGCGACTAAATGAAAATAGGGGCGGAGTTTCTGACGTTCATTTATATTCTAAGAATTTTTGTATATGACACAGTGACTCATGTTTACTCGTATAACGGTTCAAAAATGTATATAAAAGAACATTAACGTGCATATTACGAATTAAATATTTTCTTTCAATCGCTATATCACGGAAATGGCAATACTTATAAAAAAAAGTGTGAATCCCTTTTTGTAGAGAATCGGATGATCTACAATTTTTGTCTGGACTATTTTTGCTGTTAAACTCACCGTTTAGCTGAAAAACGCGAAAATCCTATTTTTGCAAACTTTCACCATCAATAAAATTTTTTGCACAAGGGGGATGGGGACTTTTCACAATTCATTTATAATAAATAGTATTCTGAACATATTCATACCAAGTTTTAGCTCTATGGGAATTTTTGTTACCTTCAAAGTCTTATTTGACTGGACAATATGTATTTCTATCTATCTGCTACCTTAGTATCTCATAACACAAGCCTAACAGTGCTTACTTTGGGGCTAGGCTAGGAATTTTGAGTGTTTAAAATGAAATTCTCATTTTTATTCATTGTTGCCTGTGTGATGAGCAGATATACGTGTCTATTGATCCCCGTACTCACTGACACTCGCTTTCTGCATACAGTTTAGCCTCTGCGCTTTCTTTACTCATGTGTTGGTATTCTCCGGTCCCGCAGCGAGTACTGCAACTGGCGGTTGTCGCGCAGCGGGGTATCGGGGCGGGTGCGGCGCCTGCAGAGCGCATGCGCCGCGCTGTCACGACGCGCCGGCGCCCCGCCCCCCGCCCGGCCCCTCGCCGCGCTAGCACTCGCCGCCCGCGCCGCGCTCGCCGACGACCCCGCGCTCGGACGGTGAGTATATACCCGCGCCCCGCGCCCCGCGCCCCGCGCGCCGCGCCCCGCCCCCCGCCCGGCCCCTCGCCGCGCTAGCACTCGCCGCCCGCGCCGCGCTCGCCGACGACCCCCGCGCTCGGACGGTGAGTATATACCCGCGCCCCGCGCCCCGCGCCCCGCGCGCCGCGCCCCGCCCCCCGCCCGGCCCCTCGCCGCGCTAGCACTCGCCGCCCGCGCCGCGCTCGCCGACGACCCCCGCGCTCGGACGGTGAGTATATACCCGCGCCCCGCGCCCCGCGCCCCGCGCGCCGCGCCCCGCCCCCCGCCCGGCCCCTCGCCGCGCTAGCACTCGCCGCCCGCGCCGCGCTCGCCGACGACCCCCGCGCTCGGACGGTGAGTATATACCCGCGCCCCGCGCCCCGCGCCCCGCGCCCCGCGCCCCGCGCCGCGCTAGCACTCGCCGCCCGCGCCGCGCTCGCCGACGACCCCGCGCTCGGACGGTGAGTATATACCCGCGCCCCGCGCCCCGCGCCCCGCGCGCCGCGCCCCGCCCCCCGCCCGGCCCCTCGCCGCGCTAGCACTCGCCGCCCGCGCCGCGCTCGCCGACGACCCCGCGCTCGGACGGTGAGTATATACCCGCGCCCCGCGCCCCGCGCCCCGCGCCCCGCGCCCCCGCGCCCCGCCCCCCGCCCGGCCCCTCGCCGCGCTAGCACTCGCCGCCCGCGCCGCGCTCGCCGACGACCCCGCGCTCGGACGGTGAGTATATACCCGCGCCCCGCGCCCCGCCCGGCCCCTCGCCGCGCTAGCACTCGCCGCCCGCGCCGCGCTCGCCGACGACCCCGCGCTCGGACGGTGAGTATATACCCGCGCCCCGCGCCCCGCGCCCCGCGCGCCGCGCCCCGCCCCCCGCCCGGCCCCTCGCCGCGCTAGCACTCGCCGCCCGCGCCGCGCTCGCCGACGACCCCGCGCTCGGACGGTGAGTATATACCCGCGCCCCGCGCCCCGCGCCCCGCGCGCCGCGCCCCGCCCCCCGCCCGGCCCCTCGCCGCGCTAGCACTCGCCGCCCGCGCCGCGCTCGCCGACGACCCCGCGCTCGGACGGTGAGTATATACCCGCGCCCCGCGCCCCGCGCCCCGCGCGCCGCGCCCCGCCCCCCGCCCGGCCCCTCGCCGCGCTAGCACTCGCCGCCCGCGCCGCGCTCGCCGACGACCCCGCGCTCGGACGGTGAGTATATACCCGCGCCCCGCGCCCCGCGCCCCGCGCCCCGCGCCCCGCGCCGCGCTAGCACTCGCCGCCCGCGCCGCGCTCGCCGACGACCCCGCGCTCGGACGGTGAGTATATACCCGCGCCCCGCGCCCCGCGCCCCGCGCGCCGCGCCCCGCCCCCCGCCCGGCCCCTCGCCGCGCTAGCACTCGCCGCCCGCGCCGCGCTCGCCGACGACCCCGCGCTCGGACGGTGAGTATATACCCGCGCCCCGCGCCCCGCGCCCCGCGCGCCGCGCCCCGCCCCCCGCCCGGCCCCTCGCCGCGCTAGCACTCGCCGCCCGCGCCGCGCTCGCCGACGACCCCGCGCTCGGACGGTGAGTATATACCCGCGCCCCGCGCCCCGCGCCCCGCGCGCCGCGCCCCGCCCCCCGCCCGGCCCCTCGCCGCGCTAGCACTCGCCGCCCGCGCCGCGCTCGCCGACGACCCCGCGCTCGGACGGTGAGTATATACCCGCGCCCCGCGCCCCGCGCCCCGCGCGCCGCGCCCCGCCCCCCGCCCGGCCCCTCGCCGCGCTAGCACTCGCCGCCCGCGCCGCGCTCGCCGACGACCCCGCGCTCGGACGGTGAGTATATACCCGCGCCCCGCGCCCCGCGCCCCGCGCGCCGCGCCCCGCCCCCCGCCCGGCCCCTCGCCGCGCTAGCACTCGCCGCCCGCGCCGCGCTCGCCGACGACCCCGCGCTCGGACGGTGAGTATATACCCGCGCCCCGCGCCCCGCGCCCCGCGCCCCGCGCCCCGCGCCCCGCGCCGCGCTAGCACTCGCCGCCCGCGCCGCGCTCGCCGACGACCCCGCGCTCGGACGGTGAGTATATACCCGCGCCCCGCGCCCCGCGCCCCGCGCGCCGCGCCCCGCCCCCCGCCCGGCCCCTCGCCGCGCTAGCACTCGCCGCCCGCGCCGCGCTCGCCGACGACCCCCGCGCTCGGACGGTGAGTATATACCCGCGCCCCGCGCCCCGCGCCCCGCGCCCCGCGCCCCGCCCCCCGCCCGGCCCCTCGCCGCGCTAGCACTCGCCGCCCGCGCCGCGCTCGCCGACGACCCCGCGCTCGGACGGTGAGTATATACACTACTATTATTTATGTAATCGACATTTTGCTATCAAGAAAAGGACAACAAAACAGCTCAACCGTGCGGACTCTGACGCAAACCCACCGTTTCGCCTCGCGCTGCGTTGAAGCGTATAGTACCCTTAGCACGAACCATTATGGAATTCGAATAGTTTGCAAACCGAAATGGCAATGTCAAATTTGTATGGAAACTTGTACTTATTGAAACAGCAGCGGCACAAAGTACGTAATGAGAACTAAAAATCAATACACATTTGACAATGACATTTCGGTCTCGCAAACGATACGAATTCGATGTTGGTTCGTGCTATGGGTATAGTTATGTCTCGTTCGCTCGAATGATGATATATATCTAATATATAAAATTCTCGTGTCGCGGTGTTTGTGGTTAAAGTCCTCCGAAACGGCTCGACCGATTTTCGTGAAATTTTATATGCATATTCAGTAGGTCTGAGATTCGGATGTAATCTATTATTCATCCCCCTAAATGTCAAGGGTACCCCCCCCCCCATTTTTTTTTAATTATAGATATTTTTTTTTAATATTTTTATGATACATCACAAAAATACATACAACCCTAAATTTTCACCCTTCTACCACCAACCCCTATTTTTTTATGGCGGTACGAAGTTCGCTGGGACAGCTAGTATTCATATATGAATCGAATGTTTATTTACAGACGTGTGCGTCTGTGAGAATTGCTTATGTAATTGAATTGTTTTGTTTTAATTTAAGAATGTCGCTTACAGGGTGGAGGGGTGGGTAAACGAGTCAGCATGGGGAGTGTGTGCGGGCCCGGGGGTGGCGGGGGTGGCGTGGGAGGCGGGGGAGGCGGGGGAGGGCTCCGGGTGGGAGGAGTGGGAGCCCGACCACGATGATGCGGAGCCCGAGCATCTCAACTGGCCCGACCAGCTCGACGAGGTGACAACTCTACCATATACTCTATATTTATCCAATCAATTTGACGGCAATATTGTTGCGCAAGGCCTTCTTGCGGAAATTAAGTTAAAGGTTCGCAGAAAAATTATTCGTTAACTGTCCCTTTAAAACAAAATTAGCTTCACCGTTTAATAAAATTAAAGATGCATACAACGAGATAAAATACATATACTGTACATATATAAGTATATTTATATAGAAAATACATATTAAACATCCATCACTGGAGTACAAATGCTCGTATTCATCACACAAACGTCTGCCGCCACCGGGATTTGAACCCAGGACCTCTCGAGTCGGCGACACCATGAAACCCGGCGAAACAAATTGAAACATCCATAAAATAGTGAAGTTCCTCATTTGCATGTATTATAACTTAGGAGAGTAGAAAACACACAGTGGATAAGCTACAAGATATATGATAAAAATGTGTGCGTGTACTAGTGTACACACGTAAGAAGTGAAACTTCTTTATGGCCTTATATTTCGAAAAATGATCTACATGCAACTTTCCAGAAACTGGTTAAATATGAAACTGTTATGATTACACGGCTCAGTAATCTAAGGCACATGTTCCACCTCCGACGATGAACGATAAGCGAGTAGAAACTAGAAACGAATTGGCAGTCCTGAGTTAAAATGCACGCGCACGGCTTTTGACAGCCAAGCCAGCTTAACCGAGCGAGTATAGCTGAGCGAGTATCGCTGAGCTAGTATCGCTGAGCGAGTATCGCTGAACGAGAATCGCTGAGCGAGTATCGCTGAGCGAGTATCGCTGAACGAGAATCGCTGAGCGAGTATCGCTGAGCGAGTATCGCTGAGCTAGTATCGCTGAGCGAGTATCGCTATGCGAGTTTGGCTGAGCGAGTCTTATCTTTAATAACTATTGTCACTCAGCTACAAACGAGTAGAGACAGTTCTCGCCGGCGACAGTGTGATCATTCAGCTATCAACTATTAATATAAAAAAAGATGGCGCGTAACGGAAAAATGTGACGCGTAACCGAAAAATGTGACGGTAAATTTTTTTCCAACGCCGATAAAGAAGTTTCACTTCAATATATGAGAGTTATAAATAAAATACACACAAGCCATATGATACAAGTAAGTAATAAAGAGGAGTGGTGTCAAACAGACAGATAGACTGACGTATAAAAATATAAATTTAAAAACTCGTCTTGAGTATAATTACAAAAATAATTCTTTCCACCATCAACAAGGCTGAATGGTACGACGTTCTTGGTCCATGAAGCATTTACCTTCATACCTCCACTATCATTGCTTTTCTATTAACTACTTGTTGTAAAATAGTTTGCAAATTAATAAAAAAATAACACTATAAAAATCAATTGAAAATTCGGAGTAAATAAATTGAAGCTCTCGCCTCAAGAGATTCCCGCCGAAAAACTGCAAACGCTATGAATTGACAGTGACAGCTGTCACCGAGATGCTTCATGCACCAAGGATGTCATACTATTCAGCCTTGGTGATGGGTGAAATAATAATTTATTTAATTACACTGAAGACATACACATAAGTCCGGGAAATTTGTGCGCTTCTTCTTTATACACGCTGTGTGTTTTCTCACACACATAATAACCGTTTTGTTGGAATGCAAAACGGTACTATTCAGTGGATGTTTCAATTTCCTTTACCGAATTTTAACATACGCTGCAATGCGCTCCGACGCGCGTCGGTAAATGAGGATCGTACATAAGAAACATAAGAAAAAAAGGAGCTCGATGGCGCAGGTGGCTAGCGCGTTCGGCTGCGATCGTTGAAGTTAAGCAACTTTCGCAGTGGTCGGTCATTGGATGGGTGACCAAAAATTTACTATCTCGAGCTCCTCCGTGCTTCGGAAGGCACGTTAAGCCGTTGGTCCCGGCTGCATTTGCAGTCGTTAGCACCCACCAATCCGCACTGGGCCCGCGTGGTGGGTCATGGCCCAATCTCCCTATTCCATCCATAGGGAAGGCCTGTGCCCCAGCAGTGGGGACATTAATAGGCTGATGATGATGACATAAGAAATGTTTATATGGTATATCAGATAGAGGAGCTGGGCGTGACCCCGCCCGGGGCGCCGCCTGCCTCGCTCGTCACCTCGGCGGCCGCCTCGCTCGCCTCGCTGTGGCGGGGCTGGGCCAAGTAGCGTACACTACACTACCACACCACACCACACACTACACGCTCGTCACCTCGGCGGCCGCCTCGCTCGCCTCGCTGTGGCGGGGCTGGGCCAAGTAGCGTACACTACACTACCACACCACACCACACACTACACGCTCGTCACCTCGGCGGCCGCCTCGCTCGCCTCGCTGTGGCGGGGCTGGGCCAAGTAGCGTACACTACACTACCACACCACACCACACACTACACGCTCGTCACCTCGGCGGCCGCCTCGCTCGCCTCGCTGTGGCGGGGCTGGGCCAAGTAGCGTACACTACACTACCACACCACACCACACACTACACGCTCGTCACCTCGGCGGCCGCCTCGCTCGCCTCGCTGTGGCGGGGCTGGGCCAAGTAGCGTACACTACACTACCACACCACACCACACACTACACGCTCGTCACCTCGGCGGCCGCCTCGCTCGCCTCGCTGTGGCGGGGCTGGGCCAAGTAGCGTACACTACACTACCACACCACACCACACACTACACGCTCGTCACCTCGGCGGCCGCCTCGCTCGCCTCGCTGTGGCGGGGCTGGGCCAAGTAGCGTACACTACACTACCACACCACACCACACACTACACGCTCGTCACCTCGGCGGCCGCCTCGCTCGCCTCGCTGTGGCGGGGCTGGGCCAAGTAGCGTACACTACACTACCACACCACACCACACACTACACGCTCGTCACCTCGGCGGCCGCCTCGCTCGCCTCGCTGTGGCGGGGCTGGGCCAAGTAGCGTACACTACACTACCACACCACACCACACACTACACGCTCGTCACCTCGGCGGCCGCCTCGCTCGCCTCGCTGTGGCGGGGCTGGGCCAAGTAGCGTACACTACACTACCACACCACACCACACACTACACGCTCGTCACCTCGGCGGCCGCCTCGCTCGCCTCGCTGTGGCGGGGCTGGGCCAAGTAGCGTACACTACACTACCACACCACACCACACACTACACGCTCGTCACCTCGGCGGCCGCCTCGCTCGCCTCGCTGTGGCGGGGCTGGGCCAAGTAGCGTACACTACACTACCACACCACACCACACACTACACGCTCGTCACCTCGGCGGCCGCCTCGCTCGCCTCGCTGTGGCGGGGCTGGGCCAAGTAGCGTACACTACACTACCACACCACACCACACACTACACGCTCGTCACCTCGGCGGCCGCCTCGCTCGCCTCGCTGTGGCGGGGCTGGGCCAAGTAGCGTACACTACACTACCACACCACACCACACACTACACGCTCGTCACCTCGGCGGCCGCCTCGCTCGCCTCGCTGTGGCGGGGCTGGGCCAAGTAGCGTACACTACACTACCACACCACACCACACACTACACGCTCGTCACCTCGGCGGCCGCCTCGCTCGCCTCGCTGTGGCGGGGCTGGGCCAAGTAGCGTACACTACACTACCACACCACACCACACACTACACGCTCGTCACCTCGGCGGCCGCCTCGCTGGCCTCGCTGTGGCGGGGCTGGGCCAAGTAGCGTACACTACACTACCACACCACACCACACACTACACGCTCGTCACCTCGGCGGCCGCCTCGCTCGCCTCGCTGTGGCGGGGCTGGGCCAAGTAGCGTACACTACACTACCACACCACACCACACATTTGACAGTGACATTTCGTACTCGCATACGTTAGGGGGTGTCCATAAATTACATGAGGTGTTTTTTAAAATTTTCTGTCCTCTATATGGACTGATAATTTATGGACGCTTAAGAATTCGATATTTGTCATAGAGGTAGACGAAAAGAGTTGGGGAGATATAGACTCTCCTACAAGTGAAAATGTACCTCTAATAGAAAGAGAGAAAAGATAAGAGAACGCTAGCTTTCTCTTTCTGGCAACCGTAATCATCTTATTATTTCGATGTCATGCCATTGGATGCCATGCGTCACAAGAGAGAGAGATAGCTGGCCGTCTCTCATCTTCTTTCTCTTTCTACTAGACGGACACTTAAAGCCGCCTTCCCCACTCTATTCTTATACCACTATGCTATTGGTTAGTGCTAAGTGCTTCAGAGCTAGGTAAAATGAGCAGAGCCCTACCCTTAATACAATACTTTACTGCACCAATTACCCGAAACACATTTTGAGGACCGAAGTCCCCATAATGATGCCGAGAGTGCGAAAGATCCGGGAACCCAGTCTACCAGTGACAACCCAACACACTACACTAGCACAAATTACAATTAACCTCACAACACACTATAGTACAACAAGGATCTTTATCAATGTGAGTGACAGCTCAGGGGGCGCCACTGTCAACGTTAATGACATAAAATTGTGACGTATACAAGAACAGCGGCGTTAGTTCCAATTTTCGCCGCATTCATAAAGATCTTCGTGGCACTATTCTTGGTAATTTACTATGCTATCCCGCTATCCAATTCTCGACCATATAAATGAATGGCCAGTCAAAAGCTCCATCTGTTTGGATAACGCGATCAGCATAATACACTGACTTTTATGAAGAATTTGAAACCACATTATAATCTAATTTAGTTTTGTCACTGCCAATTCTTCTTATCATTATTAATTAGTTAGCCCTTGTAGATTTCATTTTCTGTTTTATTAAATCCACCATTTAAATCAAAGTTTAAGATCAACTGTACTATAGCATTATCGTTGTACAATAGGGTATTTGACATGTTTTAGAAAACTCACGTTATTGACTAATGCTTATGGAGTCCGTAAAAAGGATATTCATCGTTCTGTTGTGTATTTCAGTAAAAATAACCAAATCAAAAACTCCATTTCCAAGTTGCCGCGAAAACGTTTCTCTGGACAATATGGCATCTTACTAGTGTGTGACGTCACACGACTGTTATTAAAACGTCAAACGATACAATGTAATGTCACTTTCACCGGAAGTTTACTTGCGTGTGACGTCATTTTAGGCTCCGTCAATCCCAAGCGTTTTGGGTCACGTGACAATAGATAAGAAAACTATTATCTTTTTCGTGGGTTTTTAGTAAAAATAGTAAAAACCCCTGCCAATATTCATTCTAAACACAGATGCCAACAATTGACACTTTATATTTAATACTGTCAAATACCCTATTCATCGCCAGGGGTGATTTTTCCGCTAGAGGCGTATCATAGTATTGGATACAAAAATCGCATTAGATCACTCTTGCAATTAAGCTTGCCAGATGGCCGGAAAATCCGAGATTGTCCCCGAATTTAACGTCTTGTCCCATGTCTAGTAATTAGACCTTATTGTCGCGGATACAGATATTGTGCTAGTTTCGTAACAAAATAAACTAAAAGCGAATGACACCACTGCCTGCTCAATGTTTTAATAGGGGTGATGACGGGGTACAGTAAACGAAATTCTATTTAGTCCGTCAGTTAGATGATCAAAAAATAATGGACACGTATTTTTTCTTTGGGCAATCAACCAAAAAATGACAAAGTTATAGCGCGTCAAAGTTTGGGAGTAGGGGCTCGTGACGTCACTTTTGAGTGAATTTTCACTTATAAGTGTACTCAAACGTGATGTCATGCGACTTTTCAAATCAATATATCTCTGCAATGATTATATTATGTGAAAAAAGAAAAAATACGTGTCCAATACTTTTTGATAAATCTACCTGATAAACGAAGAAAAAAAAATTAGTCATCATCCCTATTCTGAGGGGGATGGGGGGGGGGGGGGGTTTGATTCGATGCATTACTTTTTCAGAGGGGGTGTAAAATTTCCTAGAATTGACAAGCCAGCATCTGGCAACCCTACTTGCAATAGAAGAATTGAACAATGTATCCTTTGCCAATAAATTAAAAAAAAAATAGAGGAATTGAGTTTAGAAGCTAAATCTGCCGTCCTCAAAGTAAAGTCCGTCTATGTGGCATGTGGTCAATTTTTCAGTCTTAAATTGCATCTTTTACAGTTTTTAATACTCTATCGATCTGTCGTTAATAAGTATTCGCATCTTTTATAGTTTAAATCAAAAAACCCGTCATATGATGAATGGTTACAAAATAGCAATAATTTAAAGTTTATGCGAGGTTTTTTTGACTATATCTCAAAAGTTGGTTTTGTCATTTAGCCGCGTTTTAGCTTGCGGACGGCAAAAATGCCTTATAAATATAGCTCTTATTCCAGTGAGATAAAGTATGCTTTCCAATTACAGAGCATAATGCGACTCAGTGCCGCACAATGCCCAATTATGCTGATGCTTAATTGGAACGTGAATTAGTTTTCAAATGCACCAGCAGAGTGCGCTAAGTTCAGTGTTGAAACAAAAAGTCAATGTTTGTACCTTCATCCATACTTATATTTATTTTTTAACAGTTTGAATGATTTTTGATTATTTAAAAAAAACTATTTAATTAAACGAAAGCTTTAATAATTTTTCAACAATAAATAATATTACTAACGATAACATATAAATAAATCATTTCGATCAATGCCAATTAAGTTGGCAGAAAAAACACTTGTTAATTTTCTGTCTCTAAGTTGGTACGATTGCACGCATCACACGAATGCATCACTTTTGAGAGTGCTCAATTGTGCGAAACGTTGCTGTAGTTGGAACACTCAACGTTAAGCATTATGCCGCATAATGCGCTATAATGCTGTAATTGGAAAGCAACCAGTGGTGCAGCCAGTCTCAGATTGTGTAAAAGGCCGTCACCTTCAATGTCCTAGTCATAACTATGTTTCTCTTGTACCAGTGCAGAAATGTGGTTTAGTCGCCACATTCTAATCAATTAAGTTATGCGAACACTTCACATGGCTATTCGTGACGCTATTTGTACTTTTGACAGTAGTATATCTATAATTTTTAATTTAAATCTAAAGAAAATATTATGTACTAGAGAAAATTCCACGCGTACCAGGCAGCAGACGGGACTCGAACCCGCATCCTTCGCTATCCGAGCGATTGCACTGATCAATTATGCTAACGCAGCCCCGATGGTCGTGTCGAATTCTATCTAGCCTTTCTTAAGCTTTTGTATGGAATAGCAAAGGGTGCTGGTTCGAGTCCCGTCTGCTGCCTGAACCGCGTAAAATTTTTTCTAGTAATATTTTCTT